AGTAGTTGTTGTTGTAGTAGTAGTAGTTGTTACGTTAGTTAGTAGTAGTTAGTTAGTTACGTTTACGTTAGTTAGTAGTAGTAGTTAGTTAGTTACGTTAGTTAGTAGTAGTTAGTAGTTAGTAGTAGTAGTAGTAGTAGTGTGTGTGTGTGTGTGTGTGTGTGTGTGTGTGTGTGTGTGTGTGTGTGTGTGTGTGTGTGTGTGTGTGTGTGTGTGTGTGTGTGTGTGTGTGTGTTACAGGAATGTGAGTTCTGCAGGTGAGGAGGCCCGGAGAAGGATGAGGGAGTGCGAGGGTCTAACAGACGCTCTGCTTTACGTCATCCAGACCGCTCTAGGGAGCAGTGAGATTGACAGCAAGGTACCCCTCTCTCTCACACACATACAACCAACTCCAAAAATGGAGTAATGATAAAAAATGATGTCGCTGAAAATGTCTGTGCATGCGTGTGTACACACTGTACAAGGACTCAAATACAAGTGTGCTTTGTAAACACGTGTTTCTTGCTGATTACTATGTACAGCTTGTTAATTATTTACATGAACTAACACAAGTTATATGCAAATGTGTTTAATCTGTCTTTGCAGACCATAGCCATACACTGTATATGCATAATCATTCTAACATGTTTGTCTCCCTGGGTTATTTATGAATATTTAAATATATGGTTGTATGTTAGTGCCCCAAGCTAACAGGCCACAACAGACACACAGTAAAAACTGTCTGCACTGGCAAATATGAATATGTGGATTAATACATATCCCAAAGACTTACATCAACAACCTGTTGGTAAACAATTAATGATATGTTGAAACAACAAGCCACAATTATCCAATTCTTCATCTTTTTTTCTTTCTTTTTTCAACAAAAATATATTATTTAAGCACATAAGCCTATAGACAAATATCCAGTATAGAGTACCCACGCTTGGAGGGTTTCAGATTTGTTTCAGTGCACCATATATTACCCAACCCAGATGGTCATTGACACAGAAACATCACTGTGAGAGTGTGTGTGTGTGTGTGTGTGTGTGTGTGTGTGTGTGTGTGTGTGTGTGTGTGTGTGTGTGTGTGTGTGTGTGTGTGTGTGTGTGTGTGTGTGTGTGTGTGTTGGCTCAAGATGAGATATGGAGTTTTTAATCCTTAGAAATCCTTCACAAGATCAAAGTATGTGACTGTTGGCTGCATACACCACTCACAACAATGGGATTAGTGTGTGTAGGTGTATGTGTGAGTGTGTATGTGTGTGTGTCTGTCTACATTATGCACACAGCATGTGTCTGTGTTTGCATGTCTTTATGTTACACAGCTAGCACTGCACATTATGGTCATATGAGTGTGTGCCTGCGTAAATATGACTCTACAGTTTTGTCCTGATTGCCATCTGTCCTCCTTCATGTCTCTTGTTCTCTCTCCACCCTCCTTCCACCAACAGACCGTGGAGAACTGTGTGTGCATCTTGAGGAACTTGTCGTACCGTCTGGCTGCAGAGACATCCCACAGCCAGCAGGGGGGGTCGGAGGAGCTCGACGGGCTGCTGTGTGACACTGGCGGGAAGGACGCAGAGAGCTCTGGATGCTGGGGCAAGAAAAAGAAGAAGAAGAAGGGACATGAACAGGTGGGGAAATGGAAATTCTAAGTATTTTCTTACTGGAAAACTGCTTATTAGCTTTACTTCATATCCTTTAGAATGGTGAGCCGCTTCAGGTTGGGTTTTTTGGGGGGCAGGGTGCAAATCCATGCAGTTGTATGATAGATTATGGTGGCGAATAATATTGATATGGTGGATTCATCGTGTTTTAATGCCTATCAAAAGTCTAATAATTCCTATAATGAGTATCCAGGCACGCTAATGGACGGTGTCTGGACACACACACACACACACACACACACACACACACACACACACACACACACACACACACACACACACACACACACACACACACACACTCTCAATTTATATTGAACACTTCAGTCAATCTCGAGCAAAAGACCAACAATTCTGTCATTTTAATCTAATTCCATTCACATAAGATTATCATTATTTGATGAAAAACATAGGTTAAAGATGAAATGAATGTGAGTATGATTAAGGGGACAATAATAAAGACAGATTATTATTATTAGAAATGTTTTATAAGTACATATAAGTCTTATCTTTTGCCTTTAGTGATATCATCACAGTTAGTGTTTAAGGAAGTCTCTTCATTCTCTCATTATTTACACCAATGACTCATAGCGAAAACTCCTAACTGGAGTGAAATGAACTATGTGTTGGTGCCTAAATAAACGTGGTGTAAAGTTATTGCCTCTCTTACGGGATGTAAAAATGTCTTTTTGAAGTCTTTGTAGTTCTTGGCTCTCTATTATCCTGCTGCTTGCTTATATCTTCCCTCGTATATCACACTAATACATTCCCTTATAGAATTGTAATGCCCACATACAAATCTACATTTACATACAGAGTACATAATTCATGAGGAATTTTCTCTTGTTAATTTAAAGCCGTGACTAAATTGCTTGGTTACTCGCTGTCAGATGTCAACACCGGGATAATAAAAATTAAACAAAAAGGCAAAATAACAGCTTTACAGAGAGAAGTTTTCATCTTATGTGTTTTTTCTAAGACAATAACCCTACCATTATATGTTTCAGTATCCAGTATTTCCTTTTTTAATGCAGCTTGTTGCTGTTTCTGGTTCAGTAACATTTGCTCAGTTCAACCTTAGTTCACTTCACACGATGAATATTTATGAATGCACCACAGATTTCTTTGATATTCATGATGTTTGAGTTTGTTTTTCCACGTGATCTTCACCTACCACCTGAATTATTTAGGTTCACGTATCTAATATAACGTGATTCAAAGCAACAGAAGAGTTTGATGATGTGATACTAATGTGCATCTTATAGTCTTTGTACTGTTTGTGTTGTCCTATGTTGAGGTGGAATATAACCACCATCTTGAGTATTTTCCCTAATTACTTTAAAGATTCAGATTTGTAATCCAACTTATAAATGACGTTTTAAGTATACTTATTTTAGTTTTTTTAGTTGTAAAATATAGCTCCACCTTTGCGAACTCAAACATTAAATGAATGAACACATTATTAGGAAATAAAAAGTATTTTCCAGTAGTACCCAACATTTTATTGTGAATCGGGCCATTCTGCATAGTGAGTACTTTAAGTATGTTTCATAAACTTATAAATCGTACTTTTACTTAAGATACATTTTTCATGCTGGACTTTCATTTGTAAGAGTATTTTCACACTTTAGTGTAGAAGGTTTCCACCCCCTGCTTCCATGCAATATAACCCTAACCCTAACCCATCAACACATGCTATACGGTTTTCAAACATTGGGAAAATAGCTATTTTAGCTTTCCATGCATTGACTACCAATTTTTCAGACAAAAAACTATATTTTTTTCCTATTTCGCTCTGGATTTCCTTGGTCTGTCCATCTGCTGCCAACAGGAAGAGTTTCTTTCTCCGGTTAGATAAAAAATGATTGCTCCTTTTAGATGTGTAGTTGGCAGAAACAAAACGGCTGCCTTGGAGCAGGCTCGAACCCTCTTGTCATGCTAATTAGCAATCAGCATCACATTCTGGTTGAGTGGAAGACGTCTTTAAGACTTCTACTGAAGCTGCTGGGATTGAAAACCCAACACTTCCGGTGGTACAGGGTGGGTAAATTGCTCATTAGCCCTGCATGTTTTTCCCCTCTCTTTCCTTTTTTAGAAAAAATACAGAAAAAGGGCATTTTTGATTTACTTAATATGTTAGACCTTTAACTAACATTTGCCAAGTAAACCCTTAACACATTTGTTCACATCAAGGCAGAACCAGGGAGATCTTACAACTAACCAGGGATCAGATTGTAAAGGGACACATCAAAACCTCCCCCCCATCCATTCCCTCTATCTGTCTGTCTCCACTCCAGTGCAGCTGTGGGTGATTACCATGAAGTAGCGATCGGGGAGCTTGTTGGAGAGGGCGAAACTCTATCAACTGTAGAGTAATTACAGGAGAGATGAGGAGATGAGGGGTGAGGAGAGGAGGAAAGGATACGTCGGTAGGGAGGGGAGATATAGAGAGGAGAGATTGAAGGAAGCTAGGGTTAACAGGGGGGCTTGAAGATACAAAAGGATGAGATAGGAGAGAGGGGGGAAGAGGAAGTAGTGGAATAATAAGGTCATAGACAAAAGGGAAGTGAAGGCAGACAGCAGTGCAGTCTGTTGGCAGTGAGCCTTATCAGATGTCGTGTGAGATTACCTCACTGCAGATGGAAGGAGGAACATTTTTATTTCTACAAATAAAATGTGAGGATTGATGATAGAAAATGACAGTAAGAAGCCTACAGAACATCCTAATATTTACTATGGTACATCTCCAAATCAGATTCAGACAAAGAAGGAACAACAACAGACAATATAAGCCTTGGTGGATTACTCAAGTAGAAGTTTAGATTACTTGTGCTTTACTTAAGTATTTGCATTTTCTGCTATACTTCTATTAAAAAAATCTGTGAAAGATATTGTTCCTTTTTTTCTCCAATATATTTTGTTATCACAGCTTTTTTTGCCCTCCTTGTCGAGTTAAAACTGTGCATCTCCAGAGGTGTTGGTTTAGAAGGTTTCTGTTAAACTGAAGCATTAAGGGTTCCTCTTTGTTTTGAGAGAAACATGTCTACTGTTTACATGCTTTAATGTTCAAAAAGCTCTTTATTTTTCTCATACTGCCTCTTTTCACCCTCAGTCTGAAACCAGAGACCACTCGGCTCTGATGGGTTAGCTGGCCGGCTCTGTTGTGATTGGTCAACAGCTTATGGCGCATTCACACTGCAGCGTGGAGCTCGCTTTAAGCGTGCCGAGCCGTGCGGGGCCCGTTTTTGGTTGCGCTTCCACTTGGCCTAGTTTTGGCCTGGGGCATCTTTTTGACCTTTTTTCTGGCCCGATTAAATCTATCGAGGCCAACAAGCGAGGCCAACAACCGGGCGGAATATGCTAAACTAGTGACGACTGCTGATTGGTCAGAGAGAATCGTCACAATTCTCGCGCGACTTAATCCCTAGTGTCACATATATTAAGGGACGCTTGCAGCATTTTTGAAAACAGTGAACCTTGCAGCATTTTTGAAAACAGTGAACCTTGCAGCATTTTTGAAAACAGTGAACCTAGAAGAAAAAACCACATACCAAGAAGCAAGGACACGATGGCTTCCACATCCTCCATTGTTGTTGTGTGTTTTGTGAGTTGTGTCGCATTGAAGATGACGTCACGGCAGTTGTATGCAGCGTCACTCGCGCGCAAAAAGCCGGATCGGCCCCGCCTACACTGCGTTACTATAGTAACTACCCAGTTCTAAACTGTAATGTGAGCGCAGTTAAAGTGAGCCGGGCCTAATAAGGCCTTAACCAACCGAGCAAGGCCGAGCGAGGCCTGCATGTAAATTGCGCCATTTTTGACACCCTGCTGAGCCGTTATCACGGGACAATGTGGCTGGAGTGCTGCCACGTATCGCAAGTGTTACTAGTGATGTACCGCCTGAGGGTTCCCAATGGTGGCATTTTGGGCTGGAGGGGGCTGGGATTTTTAGCCTTTGCAGACCATTTTACATGCTTACGGGTAAGAAACAGGTCTTTTCACACTTAATATTGTACAAGGGACCAGACATGTATATGACACCAATAGAAGCACTAACTGCATTTCTGATAATTTCCAATAACATCTTATCATTATATTGTACAACACTGCAAGACCATTTATTCTGCACCATGAGGAACATTTAAGTGCATTATGCTGA